CAAGGATAGTTAAGTGTCAGGTTTGAAACTCAGGTTGCCTGACCCTAGACCCCATGACCTTACCACTATGTTAGACTGTACCAAACCCCCATGTTGGAAAGCTGTTAGATCAGCATTGTCCGATACATAGTCATTAGCTTCATGTAGCTTATTCAATTTAAATTAATCAAATTAAATAACATACCACTGAGAGTTCCTCAAAAGGTCACGCATAGAGTTACCACATGACCCAGCAATTCCAGAGTTAGGTAAATACCCAAGAGAACTGAAGACATACATCCACACAAAAACTTGCATACCAATGTTCATAGCAACATTATTTATAATATCCAAAAAGTGGAAATAGCCCAAATGTTCATCAATTGATGAATGGATAAATAAAATGTGGTGTTATCCATACAATGGAATGAATATTAATCAGCCATAAAAAAGAATTAAGTACTGATACATCCCAAAACATAGGTGAATCTTGCAAACATTATGTGAAAGAAGCCAATCACAAAGGACCATTTAGTGTATGATTTTTCTATGAAATGTCCAGAACAGGCAAATCCATAGAAGCAGGAAGTACATTAGTGTTTGTTAAGGGCTGGCAGAAAAGAGGGTACAATGAGTATTGACTGCTAATGTCTATGGGGTTTTCTGGGGGGTGATGAAAATGTTCTAAAGTTAGATAGTGGTAACAGTCACACAATCCAGAACAGGCAAATCCATAGAAGCAGGAAGTACATTAGTGTTTGTTAAGGGCTGGCAGAAGAGAGGGTACAATGAGTATTGACTGCTAATGTCTATGGGGTTTTCTGGGGGGGTGATGAAAATGTTCTAAAGTTAGATAGTGGTAACAGTCACACAATTCTGTGACTATACTAAAAAAACAATTTATGCGCACTTTAAAAGAGTGACTTTTTGACATATAAATTACATCTCAATAAAGTTGACATAAAAAAATTAAACATGGTTAAAAATTCAGTTCCTCGGTATCCTAGCCACATTTCAAGTACTCAATAGCCACATGTGGCTAAGTGGCTACTGAACTGGACAGCACAGAGACCGTTTCCAGCATCACCGAAAGTTCTACTGGACAGTACAGCCTTAGATGAATGGACAAAAGGTCTCCTTACCATCTGACCACAGCCTCCCTCTCAAAAGTCTCATCTACTTGCACACTCCTCTACACACCCACACACGAAGCTTCTGCCACAGACTATGCGCTGCCTCCAGACACGTCTTCCATTTTACTCTTCCACAATGGAATACACTTTTCCCCTTCCTGGTCCATAGATATCCTACTCATCCTTATCGACCTTTACAGTCTAGTCCAAATGCTTCTTCCTCGATGAAGCTTTCCCTAGATCCTCCTTTTCCTCTTGCCATTGCAAATCGATTGTGCCTATTGTCCTTTGCTTGCACTTCCATTACAGCATGGATCTCTCTGGATTACAATTCATTGTGTGTTTTACGTGTCCTTCCCACAAGATTACTAGTTTCTTGAGGACAGGGATTCTGTTACTCATTTGACAGTTCCCAGAGCCTAGCAATAATAGCCTGTTGCTGAGAACTGACATTTCAGTAAATGTCTATTCTTTGAATTCTACTGAATTCCACTGAAAGGATTTATAGAAACTCAAGGTGCTCATTTTAGACAAATGCTCACTTTGGTGTATCAAACAGACTAAGAAAATGAGGTAAAGGGGTTTAGAATCTGGAAGCCTTACATCCCACTATTCTACAAGGATTGATAGTGACTGCACTGAAATGCCATTTGTAATAAAGGGGAATGGAGTAGGGCTTCCAGACTGAAAACCAGGGCAATGGAGGTGAGTAAAGTGGTGGGGGAGGAAGGTTTAGTACACTACTGAGGGGCACAGTGGGGGAAAAAAAAACGTCAGGAACAGTGGCCCATCCAACTCAAAGTTTTAAGCTTGGCAGAGAAAACATAAGGACTGCATCTCTAGAGATTTGTGCTTGGACCATCAGCTGGGTCACCTTATGGAAAAAGACATTTCTACCAAAACTTTATTTTAAATGATATATTCAAATATTCTGGTTTAATATAAACAACACAAAAAGAAAAAATTCTACATATCTCAATCATAATTTAACAAGAAGAAACAAGTGCCAAGTCCTTACTGTATGGAGACTACTGCTTTTTTATTATTTATAGATTCGAGGAATCACTGAGTTGCAGTGACCTATAGGAGAGTTAGGTCTAAATTCCTAATCACAGAAGTGAATTAGGCTGATGAACTTTCCTGGGCCTGCATGGCAAGAAATAACTGTTCCAGTGCAGAGCTGGTTACAGGGAAAGCAAGCCGCCTAATATCATATACTACTGATAGAAAATGTGTATTTAAAAAAAAAAAAAGGTTGTATTTAATAGATCCATTTCAGGGGAGAAAAATGTAATGAGGTACCCATACCACTTTCAAAACAGATTTGTACAGCAAGACCTCCTCAATTCAGTTAACCAGAAGTTACTGTTAAAGTAAGCACAGTGAATACCTGAAATACATCCTATGACAAAATGGTCTCTGTATTTTTTTTTCCTTACTGATTAATACAAGCAAAAAGAGCAAGAAAACAAAAAAACCTAAGTTGACTAAATTGTGGTGGATTTGGAGTTAATAATTACATGGTAACTTCCATTCCAAAGATTAAAATTCTAAACACAAATCTTACTATAGATATCTAGTATTTGTGGACAGAAAGAGACAAGGGTATGAGGTGGAGGATGGGAGTGTATGGGGGTGTTGGGGGTGAGGGTATGTGGGGGGTGGTTAGGAAGAAAGCTATTGCTCATTACAAAAACGTTTCCTTCTCTGCCGGAACTGTAACCACTGTTGGTCAGTGCTAGCATCCATCCAAACAGAACAAAGTACAAAAGCTACCCTGTCCCCAAAATAAGTGTTAGAGGTGCCAGAGATATAAGAAAGCAGCCCGTGATTGACAAACTGCAATTAGGACATGACATTGAAGATACCTTTCCACATCTTGCCACCTCCCAGACTCTGTGACCTGGTAGGAACCTCCATTTTCCATCCTTCCCCTTGCTGAAGAAGTCGGTCCAGTTCCTACCATTGGCCAGCTCACCTCCACAGGCTCTGACATTCCTAAATCAAAGCTCTAGCAACATTACTTATCGGTTATCAGGAAAAGCCTTTTAGAGGTATTTACAGAAGTAGACAAATACAAAGGAAAAACAAGTTTATTCTACATTTTATTCTATCAGTACTATACTTCTTAACCTTACCAGTCCTGAGGGTTATAACTTTTCTAATAGAAAATTTATTTCTGCCAGTTTATGATTTTAACTGGGAAAACAAAGAACTGCAACAAAGGCTAAAACTGAAGAGTCCCAACCCTAGAAAAGAGAATACATTGAGCCAGAAAATGGGCTCTATTCCTTTCACATGTTATTGTAATATATATATAAATATATTCTGAGGAAAAATTAAATACTTCAACAGATAAACGGATAAGCAAATTGTGGCACATACATACATGAAATGTTATTCAGCAATAAAAAGGAAGTACTGGTACATGCTCTAACATGAATGAACCTTGAAAACATGCTAAGTGAAGAAGCCACACACAAAAAGACCACATATTGTAGGATTCCCTTTATATGAAATATCCAGAATAATAGGTAAATCCATAGAGGCCAAAAGCGGATTGGTAGTTGCCAGGGGCTGGGGGAAGGAGGGGACAGGTAGTAACGGCTTAATGGGGACAGGGTTTTCTTTTGGGGTGATGAAAATGTTTTGGAACTAGACAGAGGTGTTGGTTGCACCACCCTGTGAATGTACTAAACATCACTGAATTTTTAACTTTAAAATGGTTGACTTTTTAATGTGAATTTCAACTCATTTAAAAAAGTAATTAATTTTTAAAAATAAAGGATATTAATGGGCAAAACAAGACACATATGTGAAAGGCAGCCCTTAAACTCCTCGGGAAACGATAAGTATTTTTGCTGACACTCTGTTCCTGCTCTCAATCACTATACAAGTTCAGTGTCAAGTTGTATAGACTTTGCAATTGCGCTGCCTATCTATGTGTGCATGTCTTTCTGAAAAGACAGGGAACAGAAAGTGAGGAAAATGGTAAAGCCTTGCCAAACGCAAGGAAGGAGGGGTGATTCCCCCTATTGCACCCCACCCAACTTGGCACTAGGAGTAATGCTCCCATTAGGGTTTCGAAATGCCAGCCGGAGCTGGAATCAGCACAAGCAAGCTTCTCTGCCTGGCTAACGAAAGAGCAAGCCACCCAGCAAGAAAATCTGGGGTGCTCCATTTGCTTCCCATATTGGCATCAGAGCTATCCTTTGCTCAAAAGCCCTGAGCTGGCTCAGATCAGCATGAGTGACTTGCTCTTCCAGGCCAGCCAGCCTAACAGCAAAAACTTGTTATAAGCTGAAGTATGTCCCCCTCCTGAGGGGTCCCACTCTACTTCATCCTATCTGCATTCCAAGAGTCCTGCCTCCAACAACCTGCCACCAAGGGTGCCATGCCTTACACCATTAAATATGAGGCCAAGACGCCCTCAGAACTTTCCCTTGTCCAGCCTGAAATAAATATCCTCTCAGGCCTTCCTCCCTGTCAGTCCAGCTCAAAAGCCTGTGTACCCCTACACACACAGTCCTACACACAGCATCGCTGCCTCGGACACCTGCTCCACGGGAGGACACGAATAAGCCCCACATGCCTCAGCTCGGCACCCCACTATCCAGTCACAGTCATTCCAGCCCACCTAACCTACCTGTCGTCTCAAAGGCCCTTCACTCGCTTGGCAGCATGCCTCTGCCACCTCCCTGACACCAAAACCGTCACAGGTGTCCCTCAGCTAAACACCGAAGTCCCCTTAGATCCTGCCCAAGCCAGGCATGGGCTCCCCTCTCGGGACCCCGCAACTCTTGGCAACAATACTCCTTCAGACCCCTCCAGCCAGGCCTCGACGACCCCCAGGCCCCCAGCGTGGGCCGGACGCCCCCTCCCCCTTACCTGTGGGGGCTCAGCTCTGGCTGACAGGGGGCTGGGCAGCGCCTGGAGGAGCAGGAGCGCCATGCCACCCAAAAGCCTTCTCCTCTCCATCCCCCTCCTGCTCCTGCTCCTCCGCTACGGCGCCGCCACCTCCCTCCTCTCCTCCCTCTCCTCCTCTACCCTCTTCTTCCTTCTTCCCTTCTTTTCCTGTTAGACTCTCCCCTCCCACTTCCGGCTGTGCTCCACCTCGCCCTAAGCAAAACACCCTCCCAGACACGGGGGAGGGTCTCCAGTTCCAGCTCTTCATTGGCTCCTGCCTTTCATCCATTGATCAAAATAGCTGTCGATCAAACCCAAGTCCCGCCCCCCGCGAGGACGGAAAACCCGAGCAATCCAGCCAATGAAAAGTAGGAGGAAGCTGGGCCATTTTGACTGCCGCGAGGCGGTGTGAAATACGTCCCACCCCGCAGAGTGGCGGAAGTGGCCCCGGTAGGTGGCGAGGCCACCCAGAAGGTGTCGTGAAAAGTCTAGTTCAGATGCAGCTATCTTGAGTGTGGCGGAAGTATTAGGTTTCCACAGTTTAGCAAAAAGAGATGGGATGATGGTGATTCTGGAGGGTGTTCGAAAATAAGTTTTTCCTAGAAAGTAACCAGGAGTTCCTAAGGAGGAAAACAACTGCAATCTAAAAAGCTTTTGATGATTACCAGCGTCCCTCTACTAGTCTCAAACTGCCCAAGCAGCAGCTTAGGTCCATTTAAATTCCCTGAGATAGACCTTTATCTGAGGCATAGTGCTTTGTCACCTCAAGTATCGGGGACAAAATTCTACTGACTCTACCTCAGAAATAGCTCTGAAATCCACCCCCATTGCTTCTATCCATGTTCTTATCTTCTAGCTAAATACAAACGGCCCCCCTGCTACCCTGCACTTTGTTGATTCTTCTCTCTCAAATCCTTTCCACACACCACAGCAACAGTGCTGTACCACAATAAACCAGACATTATTATGTCTTGACCTCCCTTTTAAAATACTTCAACCACCTACAGGATATATAACCCAAACTTCGCAAATTATGGTCCTCTCTATGACCTAGTTCCTACCTACTTCTGTCTCACGTCCCACTACATTTTCCCACACATTCCGAACACATTCACGCCGAACACTTGAGAAGCCCAATAGCTTCATTTACACGTTACACATACAGTTCCCTGCTTACAAACTCCTAGCCCCCACCCTGTTTCTTCTTCTGGATTCACCTATCACCAGTGTACTTGTATCTAATCTATAATACCTGCCTGACTGATTTGCAGCTTTTTATACGGCACACCAGGTCTTCTCCTCTCCCTCCTTTTAATCTCTAAAGCATCCCATATAGGGCTCAATCATGAGCTCAATCAATGTTGGTAAAATGAATTAACAAATGAAGACCATGGCAGAGAACCCAGCAGGCTGTAGCAGCCAATTTCCTCTAAAAACCTACCGAAGCATTTTACAGCCTGACCCAGTGTGGCCCGTAGCTGAGCCAGGAGAGTTGTTCTTTGTATAAATGTAGGCAAAACGAGAAACAGGATCTCAACCTTTGGCTTGGTGTTGTCAGCACCACGCTCACCCAGTGAGCCAACCGGCCATCCGTATATAGGATCCGAACCCGTGGCCTTGGTGTTATCAGCACCACACTCTCCCAAGTGAGCCACGGGCGGGCCCTGAAGAAACCAGTTCTGCCCCAGTTTAAGAATATCCATAGTTCCGCCTCTATCTTGATCCTGCTTTCCTACCTGCAAAAGGTGACAAGTATTTTTGCCAGTCTCCGGTTTCAAGTCAAGCTCCTTAGAGGAGAAGCAAAGATTGAGTTCTAAGCAAGGTCCAAATTATTTTCACAGGACAGAGTCTCTTAATCCTGGATTCAAGGAGTTCTAAGTCTTCTTTGTAAAGGCCAGGTATCATCATCATTAGGAAACCCCAATTCAATTTGACAAACAGGTGATTTTGCCCCAACTCACTTTCTCCTTTCACCTGAGAGCTCAAACTGAGATGCTGGACAGAAACACTAAACCCTACAGAGTCTGGATTTGCACCTCCCACATCAATTTTATGGTATACAAGTTATATTTTAATTTTTTTAAATGGGGGAAAATCAAATTGCAGTCAATTTGGCCTCAGGGAGGAGACCCTCTGTCTAATTTAGAGTAGTATTCCTCAAAGTGTGCTCTCCAGACCAACAGAATCAGCCTTACCAGGAAATTATTAGAAATGCACATTTTTTCATGCTCCCCTCAGACCTACAGAATTAGAAATCCTATGATCTGAGGATGAGCCATACTACCTATGTTTTAACAAGCCCCATGGGTAATTCTAATGCACTTCTTAAGAACCACTGATCAAGGGCAAGGGAAACTTTCTGTGTGAAGGGTCAAATACTAAATATTTTAGGTTCTGCATGCCACACATATAGGATCTCTGTCACATATTCCTGGTTTTTCATTTTCCAACTCTTTAAAAATGCAAAATCATTCTTAGTTCTCAGGTGCAAAAAAAAAAAGGCAGCAGGTGGATTTGGCCCCTTGAGCCATGGTTTGCCAAATACTGCTCTAGGGCAACACACCTCCCATTCTGGGAGACCCTGGAGCTTCCAGCAGAGACAGGTGAATTCTTCCCCTTTAATAAACAATGGCCTCCAGGCCTCAGACAGTTCCTTCTTATAGTTGTGATACCCTCTGACATGCCAACACCAAAGTAAGACCAGATCCTACTTTCCTTTCAGGCTCTTTCAAGAAATTTATTCAATTCACAGTGATATCCTTTGAACAGAGTCAGAAAATCCTACCAGACAAAACTCATACACACGTTGACCCCAGGTAAGCCACACAGTTCCCTGAGAAGCTTGAGAAATCACCTAGGGCAGCAAAGCTTGGGAAAGAAAGTGGCTTTGCTTTGTTGTGTCCTTTAAGGTTCTTTGGTCTTGATTGGCTTCTCTTAGAGATGTCCAAATAGTTTCCCTTTCCTATTCAGTACACACCAGTCTTTTTTGGTATTTAACCTCATGGACTGAGGAAGGGAGGCAGCCAGGAAGTTATGCCCATTAAAATGTGTGATTACCACCAGAGGTGGGAAAGAGGGAGGGAAGGAGAGGGAGAAATTGGTAAATGGCCACAAAAAATGTTTATATTGTGTAATGACTAAAAAAAAAAAAGTATAGTTTAAAAAAAACGTGGTTAGTGCTTACATATATCCTTTTCACTCACAGTTAGTGGATTTATCTTTTAAAACAGAGATGTGAGGCAGTGGGGGGAAGAGAACTTCCACAATTACAGAGGAGATCCCAAGAACAGATTCAGACATGATTTTAGGGCACAGTAAAGTCTATGTCAACAGATGGAGCTTGAAGCATCATGGAACTCTGCTGCTTCACATAGTATCCTTTTTAGCACTAATAACTCTTGGGTGCCTGAGAAACTCAAATTTAGCTACACTCCCAAAAATGCTTGCCAACCAGGGGGCAATGGAGAGGAGAATGGGGAAGGCTTTTTAGCACTAATAACTCTTGGGTGCCTGAGAAACTCAAATTTAGCTACACTCCCAAAAAAGCTTGCCAACCAGGGGGCAATGGAGAGGAGAATGGGGAAGGGGGGAGATGAGTCTCCAAGGCGACGCAGACTTCTTCCCCCTTCTCCTCCTGAGTTAGGCTAGAACTGCATGGGTAAATGGTTCCATTACTTGAGAGAGGAGGAAGAAGGGAAGAGGAAAGAGGAGTAGGAGCTTCTCTTCGTCCCAGGGGCTCTTCTCCAATCCTGGCTAGAACCAGAATCCTAAAATTTTCATAAGTTTTCCAAATGATTTGTTTGCATGTCTCCCCCAGGCACCAGCAACTTCTGCCTGAGAGGGCCTCAGCTTCTGATCTCCAAAGGACAGGGGTGAAGGAAGAAGCAGACAGACTTTGGTCTTTGCTCTCCTTTTTCACTTTCATCCCCTAGACTCCAAAAAACCAGATTCCTGGTGGAAGCATGAGGCATCCTCCCACCCCCACCCTCAATCCATCCTGGCCTTTGAGAGTTGTTGGCAGAGGAATGAGGGCACAGGTGCGCACAGCAGCTAAGGAGGACCTGGTAAACATGGGTATATACTGGTCCTTACTGGAGTGGGAGATTTAGAGACCCTTATTGAAGTAGACATAAGGCACAAGTTCTCCATACTTGGCCTTGATGGTGTCTTGGAGCTCTGGTTCCACATAGGACACGGGCAATTCACTAAAAAGAGAACAGGAGTGGGTTATGAGCATGCCTTCTGGACCAAGCAGCAAATTACCCTCAGATAAAGTTCAACTCAAATGCCACCTCCAAGAATCCCCTCCTGATTTTTCCAGCCAGAATTATTATTGGCCTCTGTATAGCACAATGTGTTGCTTTCACCTCTAGTCAGGCCTGACTTCATTCTCCCTGAGCTAAGGCTCTTGCTTTAAACTTCTGTCTTCTCCACAAGATTACAAGTACAGTGCCTGGGACATAGGAGATGCCTAGCAGATGACCACTGAACTAGTACTGAACTAGAGTACTGAGGAAGGGGAAACTGGCATCTTCTTGGTATGCATTCAAGCTACCCTTCCCCCAGTCTGACACTTCCCTTCCCTTCTCCATCATCCCTTCTCCACCCCCAACCCCCCTTCAGGGACACACAAGGGATGTACACAGGCCCAAATTGTCGACCCTCTGGCAAACATGAGCCAGTATAAGTACCTGTTTCCTTATTCAATTTTAACAAGCAGGTCCAGCCAGGGGAGACCTTTCTAATAACCCAGCCAGCAGGGAAAGAAAGCCTCTCGTTGTTCCCCCACCCTCTCTCCCAACAGCCCTTACTCCACTCGGAAGAAGCAACCTCATTCCTTCTCCTACTTCTCCTGCCCCTTGGAGATCTGTTTTGGTCCACCATTCACTGGGGCTAAGAGGCCCAGAGTTTATGCTGATGGGCTTGTCCTTGGACAAATGATGACCTTCCCGCTACCACCATCTCTCCTGGATGGCAGGCAGGTCAGATGGAGTGGTGACAGGGTATTCAATGAAACAAAGTGAGGAATGAATAGCCGATACCATTCCTGTGGGAAGAGCCCACATGCCACTGGCACCATGAAGATGAGGCTGTAAGAGAGGAGAAACCAAAGCATTAGGGGACATCTCCCCACAGGCCCACCTACACACCATCCCTGAGCTCCCCTAGGGAAGGGAGAGATGCCCATGCACCTGGCCTGTCTTCCCAGATGGCCCTGGAGTCCTCTCTCTCCAGCTATGGAGAGGGAGAGGACTATGAGTGCCAGGAAACTCGTTCTGGCAGGGGGATAAAATCAGTCCCCTCCACAACCCCACCCCATCCCTGCTGTTCAAGCAGATGAAGACAGGGAGTGCAAGCAGCAGACCTAAAGACCACTAGCACCCACTGATGTGCGGGGAAAGGAGTGAGTGATATGAATTCTGAGGCCCTGCTCCTTTATTCAGTGAAAACCTAGGCTGTTTGAGCACAGGAAAGGGCAGAGTTCCTCAAACTTCACTTTGCACACAAATAACATGAGGAGCTTATAAAACAGCAGATGCTGATTCAGTGGATCTGAGGAAGGGCTTGAGAGTCTTCATTTTTAATGAGTTCTCAGATAATGTTGATGATGCTAGCCAGGATCATGTTTGGGGATGCAAGGTCTTTTGCATTAGACCTGGGTATGAATCCCAGCTTTGCCACTTACTAGCTGTGCAATCTTGGGCAAGTTAGCTCTGGGCCAGCAGAGGGAGGATAACGGTGTCTACTTTGCAGGGCTACTATGAAGATTAAATAAGACAGTGTATGTACAGCACCCAGACCACAGCAACTACTCAATCAATGCTAATTTAATTAGCAGAAGTGAGTATAGCAAAATGTTAGACTGTTGAGGATCAAATCTCAGCACCAGCAATTACCAGCTATATAAACTTGGGCAAGTTTCTTAATCTTTCTAAGCTTCAGTTTCTTCATTTGCAAAAGGAGATAATAATAGTATATATGTATGTATATATACACACACACACACACACACACACACACACACACACACACACACACACACACACCCCTTTGGGGCTGAGAGAATCAAGTGAAGTTGTAGATGTGAAGCATTAGCTCAGTGGGGTCACAGAAAACATTCAATCAATGTTAGTTGTTCTGTTGTTGCTGTCATTAGTCCTGTGGCCTTGCACAGTATGATTAATGGTAGGACGTGTCCAGTCAATGGCAGGAACCTAAGAATGCTGACCTGACTTGTGGCATTTTCCTCTTGTGCGAGGCTGGAACATTGACAGCCCCAGCCAAAGCTATGTCTCATCATTCTTGTCTCTTCTTGAAAACTGCTCCAGACTCGAGGTCAGAGGGGAGATCCCAGGACAGGAGAGCACCCAAGCATTCCACTTTCCATTCCAATGTGTATACAGAGCCTCGCCAGCCTACTGCCCTCAAAAATGATGGGGCAAGAGCTCTCCAGATGAACCACAGGTCTTCTGAGCTCGGCCACTTTTAAAGGCAGGTAAAGGAGTACAAGTTCTCCAACATGGGCTATACAAGAAGACAGACCTGGGGCTCCCCAGCCACCACAGGACCCAAACCACCAGAACACAATACTCACAAGCACCCAGACAGCATGACCTGCAATGGGGCATGCAGGACCTTGATTTTCTGCACAAAATAAATAAAAGAGAGACCCATATGGAACTTCTACACCTTCAGGGGAACCCCATGCCTGCCCTGCCATGGATCAGCCAGGTAGAAGATCCCACAGGCAGGGATATTCTGCCCTGAAGGGGAGGAGAAGGGGGACTCTCCTTGCTCTCTGAAGACAAGGTCAGGAAACTGGCTGTGAAATCTAAACAGGAGGCCAGCAGGGACTAGTATGGCCCCTCCTTGACTGAGGTGATGGGGTGGTGGTAAGAGGGAAGGATGGGAGGGTTAGGAGTCCCCAGGCACAGGTGGAGCTGGGGGGACTCTGGGAAGGGAAGATGCAAAGGAAAAGCCCAATACCTTCATGAAATGCAGTTTCTCCAGCCTTTCCATGATGACTGGCAACAAGACTGGAAGAGACCAGGGTAAAAGCTGAGGGGAGGGCTGGAAGACTTGCCCCAAGACCCATTTCTGAAGTCAGATGAGGGACTGAGTGATTCTCCCTCCTTGCCCAGAAATTCCAGAAAGTACTTGTCATTTGGGAGAAGAGCAGAAGACCATGTAGAAGTAGCCTCCCCCAACTTCTCCCATGTCCCAGCAGAATGGAGCTTCCCAAATTTCTCAACCTGCATACCTGTAATACCAGGAGGACATGTGCCACTAGCCCCAAAGCGTCCTTCTCAAAAGTACAGAGTATCTTTGAAGACTCACGTAAACAAATTTTATATCCTACTCTGCAATATGCCCCTGCTGGAAGCAAATCAAGGCAGGAAATTTATTTTCTCTACCAGTCTCCCTGGTATCCCACACTGTATTCACTGGTGCTTAATGAATGAAAAGAACTTTCTCCCCCAAATCTCTGATTAATTGATGTTCTAGGAATTAGTGTGGCTCTCCTGGCTTTCAGCATTCAAACAAACAATTCTGAGAAGCACAGCTGGAAAAGCTGGGGTCCCACCTCCCACCCGAAAGCTGAGTGTGGCTGAGGACTCTACCATGTGTTCCAGAGATCCCAGGATGGGGGGCTTCCCCCTCTTACTCATGCCAGGAGCTGCCATGGTGATCCGAGAAATAACCACTTGGGTGATGCCTATGGCTGCAGCTCTCTGAGGGCAGAAAGGGAGTGAGTTGTCAGGAATGATTTATCCAGTGTACCTGGGCTGCACCAGAGGGCTGGGTCAGGGTCATGGCCAAGTCTGAGCCTGTAAAGGGGAATGGATGGACCTGCCAAGGTCTCAGTGACCTCTCTCTCCCACTCTCCCCCACCCAGCCAGACTTTTATGGCTTCAGGACCAGAAATGATGGAGAAAGGACATAAGAGGTCTGTTTTAAACTGAGACATGTAGGGAAAAATTGACAGGGAAAGAGGATGGAGTCAGGGAAAAGGCTTCATAGTCCTATAATGGTGCCCAAGCCTGCTCTGATCACTGAGGGGAACACAGGGTCTGAAAGGGAATTCCCTCCTCCCACCCCAAAAGGAGGCCTCTGCTCACCCGGGAATGACCGATATCATTGTGATTCCTGTCCTTGACGCAGATGCCCTGGATGAGTTCCCTAAACATAGACAGGAGTTGCTGGACTTGGGAAAGGGGTGCTGGAAGCCTGCCAGCTGTGTGACACACCAGAGGACCAAGACCAGGGCACTCAAGCTCTGGGGAGCTACTTCCTGCAACCTGGCACTTTGGCCTTCTTTCTGCACTCCAGGGAATGGTATCTCAGAAGTGATCTAGGGTAGTAGCTAAGAGAGCTGGCCCTGGGCCCAGACTGCCTAGGTTGAATCCTGAAACTGCAGAGTATGTGTGTGACCCTGGGCATATTCCTTAACCCTTCTAAAGCCTCAGTTTTCTTCATCTGCAAAATGGGAATAATCCTGGCACCTACTTCCTAGGATGTGGTAAGGATTAAACAAGATAATATCTGCAAAGTGCTTAGTCCAGCACCTGACACAGAATGACAACTCCACAAACAGTAGCTACTCTGGCTATTATTTTCAGGCCAGCTCTTAACAGCACACAACCCGAGACCAGGTAGGTGGCTGGGACTCATTCATCTGTCAGTAAAGAGCCACAAGCTGGGGGAGGGAAAGAAGAGAAGAGCAATGGGGGTGCATGACTATTTTGGCAGTGCTCTTTCTACAAGGGCTATTGTGATAAATTTCCATTTGCTAGCAGTCCCAAGGAAGTGTGGTTTGTAGATACTGACGCTGATGGCAATAGAAGCAATAATAGCTAACACTAATGTAGCATCTGTTATATTCCAGGTGCTGATTTGAGTCTTTGTGTATATTACATCATTAAAATCTCATAACAGGGATGGCCAGTTGGCTCAGTTGGTTAGAGCACAGGCTTTAACACCAAGATCAAGGGTTTGGATCCCCCTACTGGCCAGCCACCAAAAAAAACAAAAAAACCTTACAACAGAGGAATATCTATGCCTTCTCTGGTCAAGAAACAAAAACTATAAGACATTGTGAGTTTCTCCTTTACCTTTTCTGCTGAAAAGCTTAGAGCTGGGTGCCTGGAAAACATCTACCTACTCCTCTGGCTGCTTTCAAAGTTTCTTGGTTCTGTTCTGTCTTTAGATAACTTGCTCTGCTGTGGTTCATTCTGTAAGCCATCCCCAGGGCTTTGGAAGTAGGCAGAGTTCACAGCTTTAACCCAGTTTCAGATGAAAGGATAGGATCTAGTATAAAACCCCACAGGCCCACCCTATCTCCCCTATCCCACACCATCCAGAATAGGCCTCCCACAGTACTTGACACACTGACTAAACCTGTCACCTGCCACTCCCGGGTCCATCCCCATAGGAACAGCCAATCCTCAGGGACTCTTCAGAGGCTCAGCCCAGCAGCCCTCCCCACACCCACCTCAGTCCCAAGAAGCCACCCACTGCCTTGGTTTCTTGCCCTTTCCCTGCTAACCTTGTGGTTTATATGGAGAAAAAGGGCTCCCTGTACTCACTGCTGTCGCATCATTGGGATATTGACACAGTTAGCTGCAGCCACGGCGGCAAAGGGCACCCAGCGGCCCACCAAGGGTGGAGCTCTCTGTCGGGAAAAGGGAACAATGGGACTGTTCAGGCTCACTGGAAGAGGGGAGTGGAGGGGCTGAAGGACTACAGACAAGAAAGAAAATTAGACCTCACTACTGCCAGATACCCAGTTGGGGAAGCCCAGATGCCTCAAAGGCCCAAGAAGGACCAACATGGGGATGGCTCTGCTCTATTTCTCACTATTTGGCTTGTCTCTTACCATCCCCAAACTCACCCAGACTGGGGAAATGTCCCCTGAGGAAAGATGTTTTCCCTAGCACTCTGCTGCCTCCAAGAGGCCACCATGCTCACAGCAGCCCCACACATACCTTTGTCAATGTGTTCATGCCTACAGCAGTGGCCACCGCAGTGGTTGTCGCTGTGAAGTAGGAAAGGGCCATCTGCCTAGTGGAGGAGAAAGATGCTTGGGAGTGGGGAGCCCTGTTGGCTGAGGGTGAGAAAGTCTGGTAACGAGGCTTCATGTCTGAAAACCACATGTGATTTGCTGTCCCAGCCTCATCTTGTGACCCTCTCCCCTTCATTCAATGCTCCAGCCCCCTTGGCCTTTTTTCAGTACTTTAAACATGACAAACTCTTTCCTGCCTCAGAAGCTCTGCATGCTGCTGCTCCCTATCCAAGGAATTCTTCCCTGGGCTTTTGCATGGTCAAATCCTTATCCTTTGTGAACTTCATTTCATGCAAGGTGAAATGTCATCTCTGCAGAAAGGTCTTCCTAACCAGCCTATCTACACAGGCACCCTGCTGCTCTCCTCTGTCTTGTCACCCTGTTATGTCCTTAATGGCAGGAATCACAATCTGAGATCATTGTGCTTGTTTTCTTAAGAGACCTTATACTCCACCAGAACATTGGCCACATGTTTTACTCAACAATGTATCCTCAGCACCTTGACCCTGCCTGCCACATAATACACACTCAAGAAATATTTGTAGAAGAATGAACAAATTTTGAATCGTTCTAGGAAGAAGAGACTCTTCTTCTTCCTGAGGAAATACTGCCAAACCCTGGAAAAGGGTGACTTGATCACCTGCCCAGGGTAGGCCCCACCCAGGGAGGACTGACAGCCTGGAAACCCTTTAGAAGGGCTGTTCCCGGGGAGGCAAGAGGACAGCTTGGGGGTCAGGTCTCCTACCTGACTGATGTGGGGGAAGCTGCATTCCTGTTGGTGTAGTTGACTAAAGCATTGAAGGACTGGTTCACCCACTGCCAGAAGATCACCGCCGGCATCGTCCTACCCATAAGAGAGGCCGGGAAAAGCAGAGAGGAGTAAATAAGGGAGGACTTTGGGGTGCACCAGTCACACCACATTACCTGCAGTTCCCTAAACCATTCCCATGCTGTTTTATGCACCTGGGCTTTTGTACAGGCTGGCCCATCTACCTGGAATATCCCTCCCCCCACCCCCCACTTCCATACATGGCAAAATCCTGCTCTGTTGAGAGATCACTTCCTCCTTGGAACCTTCTCAACCCTTCCCCTGCCCCTCCTGAGACAGAGTTAGCCATTCCATGCTCCCTGCTCCCACAACCCCATATTCTTCCCCCAACCTACCACTTACCAAGTTGTACTGTAACTGTTTACTTCTTGGTCTCCTCAGCAAAACTGGGAGCTCCTTGAGGGGAGGGACTAAAGTCTTTATATTCCCAACACCTGGCCCAAGGTCTAGCTCAATAACTGAACAAATGAACACACGGGGTAGACGAGGCAGGGGGAGGAACAGGAAGGGAGGGGGAAGAGTCACACATCCAGCAGCCACTGAAAGTTTATTCTGTCCCCAACCAAGCCAAGAGAAAGGGTATTTTTCTATTTTTCTTATTTGGATGTTACATTATAAAAATAAATTTATTGTGGAACAAGTACTTTTAAATGAGGGAATTAGTATAGCTTATTTGTTGAGAGTGCTAAACAGGATGGCTTCAATTAAAATCCAGGCATCCTTATTTCCTGACTGTGTAAAACTTGGGCAAGTTACTTAGCCTCTCTAGAACTCCAGTTCTTCATCTATAAAATGGAAACAATAATAGTACCTATGTGCAGGGTTGTTGAGAAGATTAAATAAGACAAATACACACAAAGAACTTAGCACAGTGCCTGGTATCTGGTAAGTGATCAATAAAGAGGGCTATTATTATTACCATAATATGGCTCCCTGCCTAGCAGACCCAGGCAGCTACACCTCCCACTGCCTTGCTTCCAGTACTCACCTGTAGAACTGGAGCATGAAGCCTGTGATGATCATGCCACCAGGGACCTGGAAGGACATCCGACCAATGACGTTCATCTTCTCCCCAGTGTCAGGGTGGAAGGCAGAGTCATATAGCTTCTTGGCATATAGCAGCTGCTCCAGTTGGGTGCCTGGTGGCACAACCCCCATCCTGCCACCCAAGGACAACAGACAGTTACCACCCAGTCTGATCAATGCCTCCCAGTCTCCCCGCTCTCATTTCTCTCTCCTTCCTGCGATCTCTGCCTACTCCTTCACCTTCAGTTTCCACCTCTTCCCTAGAGGATCCATTAATGTCACCCTACTGCCTCCAGCCCCTTCCCTGAACCACGCACCTGCTCTTCTCCACCATCACCTTGGCCCAGTCTAGCTGCCTCTCTGGTACAAAGACAGTGCGGGGGTCTGTGATGTTGAAGAAGTGTTTCACCCGTCCCAGGAAAGTGTATTGGTCCCAACGGGGGGCATCGATGTTAAAGCCAGACAGGTCAGCCTCCATCCTGCTTACACACAAAATTGTGGACAGAGGAAAAATGAGGATTGTTCCCCAAATCAAGGCCTGACCCAGGTGCCTGGAGTACCTCCTACTGTTGTGGACTGCCTGCTTTCACCAGCTACTAGACATCATCTGAGTCAGCGTGGGAGGACCAGCATGTTCACCAGACAGAGCAACTGGGCACCAACATGTGTTTCCTGGGTGCCTGCTGGTGGCCGGCCTTGTGCTTGATCACACTGTGGGAGAGACTAGTAAAAGAGACAATAGCTGTCCTTGGAGAGCTCATAATCTGACTGGAACAAGAGCCCACCCATGGAATAGTATATAATACCCCCTGGTGCTTCTGGCAGGGAGATGGGGGAAGGCGCCACTTTGAAATACACCCAGAGCCCTCTGTTCTTCCTAATAAGACCTGCCCTCAAGGGAAACTATTTTACCAGAGCCTAACCAACTTGGGGAAAGGGAACTCCAGCCCCCAACAGCCTTCCTGCATCACTGAAAGGGGGTGGGGAGACTGAGAAGCCCTTGTAAAAGTCCAGGGCACAGGCTCACTACAAGACTGAGGCCTACTCATAGGATATGGAATGCTTCTCCTCCCCCAGCTCACCTCTGCATCAGTAGGGCTTCTGCAGAACAACAAGGTATTACAACAGAAAGAACTGCAAGTCTCAGACCTTATTTAAGAAGAAGTCTCTACAAACCCAAAGACAACAGGGGAGACAAAAACAAGGACAGGAGATGAACTTTTAGCCACTGACACCCATAGCTACAGCGAGCAGTAAACACAGCCTATCTCCTAGACAGACAGATAAACATAAAACCTCACATTAAACACCATTTACCTCAGTTCCTTTTATCAGGTACATCATGTTCAGCTTTCCACAAAAAATTGCAAGGCATACTAAAAGGTAAGAAAAAGTTTGAAGAAACAGACCAAGCATTAGAACCGGATTCAGCTACAACAGAGATTTGGGAAGTATCAGGCCAGGAATTTAAATCAACTATGATTAATATGCTAAGGACTCTAAAAAGTAGACAACATACAAGAACAGACAATGTAAGCAGAGACAGAAACTCTTAAGAAAGAATCAAAAGGAAATGTTACAAATCAAAAACAGTGTAACAGAAAAACAACAACAACATTGTCACAGAAATGAAAAATGCCTGATCAGTAGACTGGACCAAGGCCAAGGAAAGAATTGGTGAGCTTGAATATGTGTCAATAGAAACTTCCCAAACTGAAAAGAGAAAAAAGAAGGAAAAACAAACAAACAAACAAAAAACCCAAAGAAAACATCGGAATATTCAAGAATTGTGGGACAATTACAAGAGGTATAAATACACATAGTGAGAGCACAGAAAAAGAAAGAAATGAACGGAAAAAAATATCTGAAGTAATGATGAGTGAGAATTCTCCAAAATTACTGAGAGACACCAAAACGCAGATCCACAAGGCTCAGAGAACACTAAGCAGAATAACTACCAAAAAATTAACATGAAGGCATATCGTATTCAAACTGAAGAATGTCAAAGACAAACAAATCATGAAAGAAGCCAGAAGGGGAACATAAATGTTACCTATAGAGAAGCAAGGGTAAGAACTACACTGAATTTCTCTTCAGAACCCATGCAAACAAGAGAGTGGAGTGAAATATTTAGTGTTACAAGAAAAAAACCCACCAACCTAGAATTCTGTATCCAATGAAATTATTCTTCAAAAGTGAAGAAGATGGGCCGAGCCCGTGGTGCACTCAGGAGAGTGCGGCGCTGGGAGCGCAGCAGCGCTCCCGCAGCGGGTTCGGATCCTATATAGGGATGACCGGTGCGATTCGCTCACTGGCTGAGCACGGTGCGGCCGGTCTCAAAAAGGACACACACACACACACAAAAAAAGTGAAGAAGAAATAAAGATTTTCTTGCACAAACAAAATTGAGGGAATATGCCACCAGTAGATCTGACTTGCAAGATGTTAAAAGAAGTTCTTCAGGGGGCCGGCCCGGTGGCGCACTGGATAGTGCGCCGCTTGGGAAGCGCGGCGGCGCTCCCGCTCGAGGGTTCGGATCCCAC